TAACATAATACATGTTGACAGTTTAACTGTACAAGTATTGTTAGGTATAGTTAGTATACATTTATTTACTAAATGAATTTACACTTTATAAACTGCAAAGTGGCTTACAAAAAAGCATTAACTGTTCCAACCAAGGTTATAGAAGTATATCTTTAGTAGCTATGAAATGCACTCCGTATAACAATTTAATATTTGTCATTACACTTAATAAAAACTAGGACTTTTTGCCCTTCAAAAATGCCTTCAAATTGTACAAATTTTAAATGTGTTGACAAGCAGATTGATACATTTTTGACTACTTTGTGACGTAGGCAACACAAAATTTTTTTTTTATCAAATCAAAAGATATGTTACACAAGAATTAAATATTTATAGATAAAATGGACCAACAAGGAAGAGGTTGGCAAAAAATTCCAGTTGGTGGGTGACAATTGGGACAAGGACATTCTCCCTTCTTATCGAACCAGTGACAGAAAAACAGAGAGTCTCCATTTGTTCCAAATCTATGCCATTGTTGACAGGTACACCACCACCAGTCCAGCGGGGTCAAATGGATACGAAGAAAACCTCACATACATTCCCTCTGTCCTCGAACAAACACAGTTATTGAAGGAACTAACATTTATTTTTGCTTCAGCCATTATTAGACATGTTCCCCAAGTGTCAAAGCACTTTGAGACTATTTTCCTAAAGCACTTGGATCATGAACATTCAGCTTTTGCAGGACTAAAAACAAAAACAAAAACTAAAGTAAGATTCACATTCTATAAAATCATTAATTTTAACTTTACAACTTGTACATGTAGATAATATGATTAACCAGAGGTGATTTTTTTTCAGTATTCTTTGGGACTCTTTGATACGAATGAAAATAAAACGGACGAAGTGATTCGGCTCCTTAGACATCTTACCGACCTGTATGTCCCATTAGAGAATGAAGAGGTTGTTGATGCTATTTTCTTTGGAGGTATGTCAATGAGGCATTTAAATACCTTGGTAAATCTGACTCTATACTTGATAGTGAAAAAGCATGTAATGAATCCAAGATGTGTAAACTGATGATATTCACAAATCAAGATGTTAATTATATTCTTTGATCTTGAACCACAGCAGCCAAATATGCAACATTTTGAAAGCCAGTATTATGCATTACGTTTTTTAAAGGGGGTCGTCTCACTGATGAGAGAATACAGTGTGCACAGGTTGCACTCAAGGATTCACTGACATCAAAAGGACGGCTAGAGGGATTCATTTCAAAATCAGAAGACTTTCACAGATTGATGAATTTTCTCGAAGTAAGTAAAATTTAAATGAAAATTACCTATATCCTTACAGTTACTATTTATTAAGTCTTATAAAATACTTTCTATAAAATAAAAAAAAGTTTTTAAGGCAGTCAGTGAATATTTACTTACTGATTTACTTCTTACAGATTAACTACGTTCTGTTAGAACTTCATTTAAATTGCTTATATTTCAAAGTTCTGTCATTTTTTTTCCTAGGTGCAAAATATTGTTTTAATGAATAAATTTTATTAAATCTAATTTTGCAGGCCATTTATAAGCTTACATACAGCACTGGCATGGCAGGTGACCCATGTACTGCCCACTACTACAGGAACCTTTTGGGCCATAGAAGTGCTAAAGGACCAGTAAAGAATGCGTACAGAGCATACAAGATGCTTTATTATACTATTCTTGATGCCATCTGTGTAGTGCTCTTTATGGACAAGCTGGGGTCGGTAGACATGAATGATCTTCCACTTCCAGATTTTTCACAAATGACACCCAATGACAGCATTCAGTGGTTGAATAACGTGTGTAGGGAGCTGGTGGAAAAATGGTTCTTTGAAGATGGTCAAGATATTTGTGAGGAAATAAGGAGTGTTCTAGAAAATCCTCAGCATGAGGAAAACTACTGGACTTCGACATTAGAAAATGGTCGTTTTAAATGTCATCATTTTGAAAAGGACTATAAAAGAGTAAGTTCTTTAAAAGCTCACGAGTCTGGATTTCATGACGTCTCTTTGAGTAAGACAAAGAAAAAGAAAGAATGCAGCAATGATGAATTGCATGATTATGTGTTGATGCTTTTTAAACTTGTTATGCTCCATCGAAAGTTTGACAGTGCAGTAGATATGGGGGATGGTGGAAGATGCGTACGATCTGCAAAGTATGAGCTTCCAATTTACCACAAAACAAATAAAATCAAATATTCCATTTGCTCCATTCATACTACGGCATTGTCCTCAGGACTTCTTAATGCTGACCAGGAGGAACGATTCATAGCAAACAGATTTGTGAATATCCAAGGTGGCAAGAATAACAACATTGCTTTGGATGAGTACATTGAAATGCTTAACAGAGACAGCAAAGCCTCTTGTACTGGGCACAAAACTAAGGAAAGTATACTGAAACATTCGAAAGAGTATCCTTTGCTCATACAATTCACAAAACAGTTCGAAGAGGCAGGTGAATTTGGCCAAAGGAAAGGATTTCATCATCTTCCTTCCTATGCAACTGATGTTGAGAAAGTATAAAGGATTTACTGGAGAATAACATTTTACAGAAAAATGAAAACAGGAAGTTAAAAGTAAAAACAACTGGTTTAGACAGGAATCCATTTTCAAATTGTTCTCAAGGCTTGTCAACCATGCTGCATCGCCATAGACCATGGTCACCATATGGAAGACTAAGAGACTGTAAATTTTGAACTTGCCAATTTCGTTTGACTATGATATTGTGATGCATACCTTATTCATTATTTAGTCAATGAGCATTTGTCTTAGTATGTAACTATGTGACTGTGAAATTGTGATGCATACCGGTACCTTATTCATTATTTAGTCAATGAGCATTTGTTTTAGTATGTAACTATATCAATATAGCATGGAAGGTGTTACAAGTGGCATCAATTATAGGCAACAGTCTTAAGATAAAAAGCTTTATAAATGATGTTGATTATTATAATAATGGTTTCAATATTTGTTCATTCATTAAAATTCTTAAATGTTTGATCTAAAATATTTTATGCAATGTTTCAGCACTTGGCTATAAATATGATTACCGGTAGTCCCAGAATAGCGTCTTTTATTTTATTTTCAGTAAATATGATTATTATATGAATGAATAATTCCCATCTCTCTGATTGGCTGAGATCCAACAATGTTAGAAAAATACTACGTTATATTGACCTGCACATGATCTTCAGGTCAGTATAAGGAATTATTTATTCTACATTGGAACAAAAATAGATAGGAAAATTCCAAATTGATGCAAATAGTTTTGGAAAGTTATTTCACTTGCACCTGACATCCACTCGTACGAACTTAACATTAAGGCACATAGATTCTTGGGTGAGGGGTCAGGGGAAGGGGGGGGGGGGTTGCAGGAGGCCTAACCCTCTCTCCAACTTTTGAGAATGTTAAGTTTTAATTTAAATTTTAAGGATAAAAAATTTCAATGAAAGTTCCCTCGAAAAGTTTATGGACCTTTACATTCTACCAAATAAAATTTTGATTTGGGAGATTTCTTTTCCTTTCTTTGGGGGGGGGGGGGGTCAAAGATTTGTTTTCAAATAAGTTGTCAATTTTTTCCTTTTAATGCCCCCTTTTTCAAAATCAATCCTATATATGTGCCTGACATTTATTTTTCTACATTGCACCTAACCTAGATTTAAAAATTCCAGAATAATACAACTGTTTTTTAACCCTGTTTCTTTCATTATGTTGGGCTAGTACTTCAGTAGATGTGAACAAGTAAGATGGCATGGATTGCTTAATGAGTGTGTTATTTAATCATTGAATCATATAATAAAACAATTATTGCTGTTTTTTTCGGTCAATATGACGATTTAGCCACCTTCGAAGTACAATATTCACCTCGCCCTTCGGGCTCGGTGAATATTGTACTCCTCGGGTTTCTAAATCATCGTATTGACCTCAAAAAACCAGCAGTAATTGTCTAATATATAACTCTAAAATGCAGATATATGTTATTGAATATTTAATTACCAGGGTTAGAAACTCCCTAAAATTACAACTCGCAAATAATTGCGAGTACCAAGAAAGTGAACTCGCAATTTTATAAGACTACTCGCAATTTTCATATAAAGTTAAATTTATATAAAAATTTAAGGAAAAAGTAACTACTGTACAATACACAAAATACAACTACAGTGTGACTTTTATTTAAATTACTGATTTAAATCAAAGGCATTGTGTTCTGTCATATTATATAATTTTGTTACAGTTTCAATGCAAAAAAAATCAACTCGCAAGTTTTTGCGAGTTACCTAATTTTTAACTCGCAATTGGGGAATTCTAACTCGCGTTTTGCGAGTTGTATGTAGTGAATTTCGAACCCTGTAAATTACTTCACAAAATATATCATACCAAATGTCCAAATAATATAATTTATTAGCATTTCCTATAATTATTATATCCCCAAAGGAGAGGGGGGTATACTGGTTTACCTTGTGCGTTTATGTTTGTGTCTGTCTTAACAAATTTTCACATGTTTTCTCAGCAGCTACTCTTCGCAGATGCCTGAAATTTTAGCACGCTCTTTTTTTAAGCATGCCATATGATGGGATTCATTTTTGTTTGAATTTGATGTCAACTTCCTGTTTATCCCTGCATCTGTCCATGCCAATATTTCTTTAAAAGAACTTTTGTATATTAACATGAAAGTGTATATTCAAATCAGAGCTGGGCCATAATTGGTGCTCACAGAATTCTTGTTATCCCCATGTCGAGAAGAATTATTCTCAAGAGTCAGAATCTTCTGAAATTTCATGATCATTGGGAAAAGTTACATGATTCCCTAAAAACAATTTCTCCAATGGCAGTTGAGAACAATCCCCACATAAACAGTTGTTCTGACATACGTCACAGCATGAACAATTTCCTGCATAAGATTTTACTTTATCAAGTTCACTTTCCTTAAGAAATGATTCCATCATCTGTATTCTTATGCAGTCATTGCTCTTAAAGAGTTTCTTTACTTCTGGGCCACATCGGGCAAGGTGATGGGAATTATAAAGTAGCAAAGACACAGACTTTTCACCATCTCTCCCAGCACGTCCAATTTCCTGCACCACTTCAAGTATAGAATGAGGTGAACCAAATAAAATAATGCTGTGTGATCTTTAAAATCCACCCCCATACCCAAAGCATTAGTGGAAACAATAACTCTTATAGGGCTCTCTTTCTCCCGAATGGACAATAACACAGTCTCTTTGATAGATTCTTCAGTCTCTGAATGATACATAGCTATATTTGAGCACAAGTCCTCTGGTAATTCGTCTGACACATAATCGTAAATCTTTGCCACATCACTAATTGATTTACAATAAATTAGTGTTCTTGGAAATAGACTTCCCATGTTCACCAGTCCATCCACTAACCATGTCATTGCCATTTCAATGTCATTTGCCACTTTCTTTACAACATACTTGATGTTTCTTTTGTCCGGTGACAAGTACACAAATGTAAAATCTGGCTTAAAGGATACCACTTTCAACACACGTTTCTGTACTTTCAGTGTGCAAGTGGCACTAAGGGCAAGCAGTGACGCATTTGGAAAGATGGAACGTAATTCTCCAAGACACCAAACCATTTCCTAAATGCTCTCTTGTGAATATGTTCATCATCTTGTCCCCTGAAATATATGAATACATAAGAATAGAATTTATTACCAAATCAGGGCCTAATGGGCATAAACATATAACATATATAATTACAATATTTTAGTTCATGAAGCATATTGAGAAAAATTTTCTTCCCTCATTTTACAATTCTTTGAATGTATATCAAAACTAAAATGTATTTTAAAAATTCTTACCACGTTGATATTAAATGAAATTCATCTATAACAATTGCAGTGACATTGAGTTGCTGTAGTTCAGCCCGCCATTCACCTAACAGTGACTCCGGACTTCCAAATATGATGTCTACCTCGCCACTCAAAATCTCTTTATCTAGACCTTGACCTGTAAAAAGTAGGGAATGCTTTTAGCATGCTTAAGTGGATGACATGCAGCAGGTGATCACAGGAAAACAAGCATATGAATGATATTTTTTTGTGCAGACCATAGATATAAAGTTTATTGTAATATTTTACCATACATGGCAGAACAAAACTAAGGCTCTCTTTGCCAAACTTTAAACTTGGTATTTATTAAACATATAAAGTCATAAAATTTCTGCAAGGTTTCAATAGTATTTCAAGTATAACCAAGATTAAGATCAATTATCCTGTCTCAATTTTCAAATATTGAGTTAATGACTGATGCCCCGTGTTATATTTTATGTATTTGTTTGGTAGTAAGTGTTTTAAAAAGCTGCATAAATTATATTCATGTTATATTCGTGTTTGTTAAATTAAATAATTCCTTTGAATAGAAAATTCCTCTTGAACAGGTACAGTACAATCAGTACATTTATCATACGTAGCTAGAATTACCTACCGTAGCTTTATTGAGCTACCTCAGGTAGCTTTATTTAGCTATTTTAGGGCAACTTTTCACAATTTGCTTTTTTTTTTAAGAAGACAAAAAGTCGCAAATAAATGTCTAGTAATATTTATTCTAGGAATTATTTAAAAAGCAATCCAAAGCAGAGATAGTTTAAACATTGTTGCGTTTGAACATTTTTAAGGAAAAGATGTATTTCCATTGTTTGAGTAACTTTACACCACCTTGTGTGCAGTGAGGCGTGGATAAGTATGATTACTTTACATTGTGCTCATGTTAACCAAAACTGGTTTTCTTTGCTATTTCATTCTGGATGTAACTGTTTGGTCACAAGTTAACTGTTGTACATAGCCCCAAAACTTTTAGAACTTTTTTGATTGCAATTGTGCAGAAAAAACACACATCTCTATGAGTGATTTTTTCATGAATTATTTTCAGATGAGTTCAAAGTTGAAAATTATCACTGCATCAAAGTGCAATTTTCTGCACTTCATAAGGAAAATGCTAATTTCAGAAATAAGTTTGATTAAGTAGCTAAATAAAGCTACCTCAGGTAGGCAAATAAAGCTATGTAGGTATTTCAAGCTACGTAGATAATTCTAGTGATTGTACCAGACCTGTTGAATAGCAATATCAGTTCGCAAGTGGGTTACAAAACGTCATGAAGCAAAAACTGGGAATAAAATAAAATATACCTTTATATGCGGCCGTTACACCTTTAATTGCATTTATTCTCTCAACCTGATCTTTCATCAACGAAACAAGGGGACAACAAACAAGTACAATCCCAGTGCGGCCGATTTCTCGTTGTACCAACGGAAGTAGTTGATAAGGTAATGATTTACCGAAGCCAGTCGGTAAAACTGCCATGCAGTCCTTCCTATCAAGCAGACACTGCAAAATGTCCAGCTGTTGAGGCTTCAGTTGTATATTTAGCGAATTCGTAACTTTCTCAATGGGCGCAGCCATTTTTAAATGCCAAGCGATAAGCATATAACAAACACTTTCTCATTGGTCGATTCTTGACGTCATTGGTTATTTTTCATTGGCTAATTGATTTGTATCAAAGGTCACACTGAGGTGACCTCGGACGGGGTGTTGTTAGATCTTGTATTGTAGCGTATCGTAGAGGAGCGAAAATTACAAGCCTAATTTTAATTAGATTGGAGTTAAAGGAACACTTACATAAGTTGACGAGCTCACAAACCAAAATCGCGCTATCGATTTCCTTCAGTTTTGGGGTGAATGTAACGATTATGATAGCCTGCTGTATTAATAGCAGTTTAAGGGTAATGTGATGGTGATTATACAGGTGGCAGGATGAATAGCCCGATCTTGACGTGGCGCTGTTACGTGTCAAAGTCATCGTCACGGTTGGTTGGAAACCTTTCTACGCCCTCTCTGAGACCGGGTAAAACGTTCTATTGTGGAAAAATTCACAACAAGCTGCACAGAAACCTGTCGTTGTCTTTGTCCTGACTTAGGCAATGCAATAACCAGACCCCATGGTACTTTCGTCCACCGTACCTTGATTTCAAGAAATACAAATCGACTGTAAATATCGAAAACCGATGTGTACAACTTAAGTGCAGCAAATGGTACTCGTACTACGAGATGTGTTGAAAAACATGTCGTCTTCGCTATGCACGTGTTTTCGGCATTTTATCACTCTCCTTATATGACGTCATACATTTCACGGTTGTGTAGTTCTGAACACTGACTTTAATGCACAGTAACCAAGATATCCCTCTGACCAATTTTCATAATTTTCGGTTATACAGTGAAAATTTTTTCGCATATTATGTTACCCTGCGTTTCTTTTTCCTTTCAGTATAAGTATAACTGTCTCTAGCGTGGGGTTTAACACAGAAAATACCACCTCCAAGTCTTGTCTGTTTTATCAACTTTGGTATGAAGATTTTTCGCCCTTTTAATTTTTCCTTTCAAAAATATTTCTGACTCTCCGGGAATTGTACAAGTCTGGATGATTTGCACGCGCGCGCACGTGTTTTCTCCTTCAGAATCACTCGTCAAGACCACGTTAAATTTTTTTTAAAATTCAAAACATCTCTACTAGTATCAAATGTAACATGATTACGAGCTAAAAATCTAATCCAAGAATTCCTTGGAGATTTACCAAATTGGCTACCATTACTGACTGACAAAATTCATCGTTCATGATGCCAAAATTCAAAGTACAGCGACTTACAAAGGTCATAGGTTCTCCATCAGCGGTAATCAAAATCGACGATTCATATTTCTTAAAAGAGTCGAGTACGTGTCTTGACAGCAAGGTGACTGTGGAACCCGTATCCACAAGCATTTTCATGTTCGAATTTCTGTCGAAACATATACGAACCAGCAATGTTGAGAAATAGCAGCAAATTAAAGCTTTTAGGCCTTACATCATTTTCCAATTTTTTAACATGACAATTAGTCTGGGCTAGAGTCGTGGAGGAAGGAGTTGATCTCTACGTCGCGAGTTCGAATCGTTCTGCGGCACGTAGAGACCGGTCCTTCGGATGAGACATTATAAACCGAGGTCCTGTGTGACAGTAGGTGCTGGCACGAACAAGATCCCACACTGCTCAATGGCCCTGAGTGCCGAATATAGATTAAAATTTGCAGCCCTCCACTGGTAAGTTGTGGCGTCTCAAAATGAGTGAAAAATTCTCGAGAGGGACGTTAACCAACACATCAAAAAACTTCAGGAAAACAGTTGACAGATTTAAGAGTTTTCCCCTTTTCATTTTTTATTCCAATAGGTAATTAAATCATTCATTAGCTCTTCTTGAATTTTTCCTGCATATATTTTGTACATGTTAGATTTCATTTATTACAAAGTAATAAATTCTGTTCCAATTAGTTTGGGCTTATGTTTTCGTTAATTTAAATGGGCCCAGTATATATATACAAGTACAGTGTATATATTGTTCCATAAATAGACAAAGCAGATATCCGTCCTAATGAGCGACCGAGTGTCTGATATTTTGTCATAACACCAAAAATCACCAACTTGTCAGTTATTCGTGTAAGGAAACAAATGAATCTTAATTTTTAAGGGACAGTAAAAACACGCTTATAACCAAGTGCCAGGGGACGGACGATTTTGTTTCGTTAAAAATGTAATTCGTTATATCTGTTAAGTTCACAATACATTTTATAGTCACGGGGAATGAAAATCAATTCGGTATAAGCGTCAATTAATTATAAGCGTGTTTTACTGTACTGAATACAGAATATGTGAAGACTTACATGATGCCGACCTGTAAATTTCTTTTTTTTTTTTGGTAGTGTTTCTACGATGTATATCATTGAGGATAAGATGTATAGAAGACAGAATAATCAAATTCCTCTGCTATAGTCTTGCATTCTTGATCATTATCAAACCTAACCCCCCCCCCCCCCCCCCTAAAACGAAACATCACCAACACAAAAAAGTTGGAAAGCACTTCTACATATATTTAAAAAACTAACAGCATAATTACATGTTTTAGGAAAAATGTTTAGTTGCTGATCTTGGAACATTGTTAAGATATATACTGAGAAATAATGACACTGTTAAAGTTTTCTACTTAAGCATTACTAACTCCTTTCCTCCTCGTCTGTCACAAAACTCATTATCAGATCAAAGGCATTAGATTTACGCCCCCTTTTCTGTTTAATATGATTTAGATTTAATGTTGTAGTCATTGTTGATGATCACCTTTAACTGATGGGTCACTCGCTTCAACCACTAGTTTACTATTTCCATATAAACAGACAAAGATAGGCTGCATGCATGTGTGATAATTTGCTGATGACAAATGAACATCTGCCTGACGTATATGAATGGTTGAAGAACTTCATTTACCGTGTAATTACAAGATTTCCAACATTTGATGGTGATTATAACTTATTTATATGATTTTCTTTCTGAATTTGGACATGCACGATACATATATTTAATTATTTGATGTACTATCACCTTGTTACGATCAATCTTTATTCAGTTGTTATTGGATTAAGTGTATGTAAAAAAAAAAGTTCCCTCCTACTACGTACAATAAAGGCAAGTCTATTCAGCAAATCTATCTAAAAAAAAAAATAATAATAATAATAATAATAACCCGTATGACAACAAAGACTGTAATTCATTTTAATGAAGTTTTTGTGAATGATATAGGAGTGAAACTATTTTATAAAATACTTCTTAATTTCGCAAGTAACTGCCGATGCTAACACCAAATGTTTTCATGGCCGGAAAAAATCACACATATTCCTCCAATCACTTTTCCAAAATGCCATTATTAAAATCAAACTTCAACCCTTTGTTCATGAAACATGAAATATATAACTAAAAATTTTCACATATACACGCGTTCTATCAACAGAAAACGGATACAATTTCTTTGATTTGGAGGCTCATCTCTCCAAATGAACCTGGAAAGAACCTTTTACTTGCAAAACTAACTTACAATTGTAGGTATCAAATCTAATACTCTTATTACTCAATAGTGGGGGTTTTTTATGTACGGAATAGATTTGATGAAATATACATTTGTTTTAAATTTTTCTTTATTCCTCCCTCCCTCCTAGGTTTTGAATTTTATAGGTGACGTTAAACGCCAAGCTTCAAACAGCTCAGTATCAAGTGACGATACAATTCCATTATTCGTAGGGAAAGTAGTTCGCGGAGAATTGACACTGTATGAAGTTTGGTTAAACGAAGAATTAACTTTAGACAGCTTAAGTTTGATACGTCGGGTTCACATATCCCTAACAAGTAAAATTGATGCAAAACATCCTTAGCATTCCAAAAAGTACTTTCACAATGAAGCATCAAAGGAAAGCACAAGATATTCAAAGCTAAATGAGTGATCATTTTTACACCCCATGCAACAAGTTGCCTGAGGTATAATGTTATACCCTACGCAACAAGTTGCGTGAGGTATAATGTTTTTGACCCGTCCGTCAGTCAGTCAGTGTGTCAGTCCGTCAGTCCTATTTTTTTGTTAGCGCAACTATTCATAAACTACTGCACAGAATTTCGTCAAACTTTGCAGATATTTAGAACACAATGTGCAGATGTGCATTTTACCAGGAAATTCCGATTCCTTTATTTTTTCTGGGAATTTCAGCACTTTTCAAGTTAGATTTTTGGCCATATCTTGAATAATATATAGAGATGAACAGTTTTGTCAGCGCAATTCCTCATAAACCGCTGCACAGAATTTCCTCCAACTTTGCAGATATTTAGGACACAATGTGTAAATGTGCATATTACCAGGAAATTCCGATTCCTTAATTTTTTCTGGGACTTTCAGCACTTTTCAACTTAGATTTTTGGCCATATCTTGAATATAGAGATGAACAGATGGTCAGGGCAACTCCTCTTAAACACTGCACAGAATTTGGTCAAATTTTGCAGATATTTAGTACACAGTGTGTAGATGTGCATATTACCAGGAAATTCCGATTCCTTTATTTTTTCTGGGAATTTCGGCACTTTTCAACTTAGATTTTTTGGCCATATCTTGAATAAAGATATGAACAGTTTGTTAATGCAACTTCATTTAAACCTCTGCACAGAATTTTGTTAAACTTTGCAGATATTTAGTACACAGTGTGTAGATGTGCATATTACCAGGAAATTCTGATTCCATTATTTTTGCCTTAAGAGTTTTGCCTATTATTGAAGAAACTTTCCAGCTAGGTAATAAGGAAATCCACTGGAATCAGCTTTTTTAATGAAATTTTATGTGAAATATTTTATGACCTTAAAAGACCCCTGTTGATTTTGAGATCAAAATATTAATGATTTAACACACATACACAAAATCTTCGATAGTTCTCACCCCAGCCCCCACCCCAACCCCTCTCAAATTGGTGCTTTGCCTTAAATAATTTCATAAGAACAGTATATAAACAAATTCATACGACTACATCATAATTTTGTTTCCATCGATTATTTAAATGTGTAAATTGTC